TTGGAATACTTATCAATCATCTACATAATGTTTTTATAGTTTGCCATATACTTAAAAAGTGAGTTTTATTATGCAATTGTTAAGAAAAGAAAAGAAAATTGAAGGTAAGGTCTAAGGAGTAAGGACTTAAGGAAGGTAAGAGAACAGTATGCCACCCATGTGGAGAGATGGGTTCCATCCTTGGCCCCTCATCATTATACTAATAACACTACTATTCTCAATCATATGGAAGATGGAAGGTGATTTGACGTATGTGGCCTCCTCAATCAATTTTCTATAATCTCAAATTCCTCCTTAACATCATTTCAATTCTTTTTAAGTTTCAAGATTATTTGCTCTTTTAAATATGATAACCTTATAAGCGATTCCAATTTATATTTACCAAAAACACTTTCTTAAACCCATGGTTTGTTAATAATAAACGATATCCATGGACTATTTTACTTTTGATAAAAAGTTTCTGGTTTCATTTTCAGATGTGAAGTGATATCTTTATTCTAAAGCAAATTATTTGTCTAGAGTTTCAAACAGCATATGTACAAGACTTGACACCTTGCAAAGACTTTACAAGGATGGATGAAGTAATTATCAAGCAACAAAACCAATGCATTATATTTATGTATTTTCAACTCAAATAGATACCTACCGCCTATTTTTCATAATATTTGGACAAATTTGCAACATGGTTCGTGTGGTTGTAAAAATATATATAGTTTTGATTTAAAATAGTTTTGATTAAAAATAGTTTTATAATGCATTAGTTGTTTAATTTTGGATTTTTTTAGTTATTTTGATCCTTTCTATATGTATAAAAAAGACAATTCTACCCCTTATATTTGTTTTTATTTTTACTTTTTATATTAGTTTTAATGATTTTAAGGGATGTTTGGTTGATAGGAAATAAATAAAATTCGAGAGAAATGATTCAAAATCCTTTGAATCCATGTGTTTGGTTGGATTTAGAGGAGGAAATAGGTCTGTCAATGGAGCGGGTTTGGAGCGGATCGGCCTTGATCCAAACCCATTAAGCAATTTCCAAATGTTGATCAAAACTCGACCCATAACCCGTAGGATTTTGAATGATTAAAACCACAACCTTATCCGTCGGATCAACAAATTTCAACCATTTTACCCGACTCATTTACAATATTAAGTATATGCTCTAATTACTCATTAAAACACATATAACATGATCACGAAAACCAAAGAACATTCATTCTAAAATAAACTTCAATTATAGCTATATAAATAACATTTCCGAAATAGAATAAATATTTATTATTGCAAACTTGCATAAGAAAATGTAGACATCAAAATATCAAATTCAAAATGCATCTTTAAAGAACCCAAAGTCCAACACGATCCACTAGCTCATTTTTTTTTGTTTCCTTGACACTAGCCAATCTTGTGTAGTCACCAACGCTTCTACGGTTTCAGGGGTTAAGGAAGAACGACATTCATCAATTATTCTTCATCCACTACTAAATGCTGCCTCAGATGCAACACTAGTTGCTGGAATAGCCAATATGTCACATGCAATCTTTGCTAGAGTCGGATGTTTGACACTATTAGCTTTCCACCAATTTAGGATATTAAAATAGTCACTTCTTGGAAACAAAGGTTCTTCTAAATAAAGCTCCAACTTGGTTTTGCTTGTAGCTACTACATTATATTTCTTCTTCTCATACCAAGAATCAAATCCATACAACTCATCATCGGGAAAATATACCTCACTTGAGGAACCACGAAAAATCTAGACTTGATTCTGCTTTAGAATGAAATAAGCACTCATCATACTCGTTGAAGAGCTCAATCAAAGCACTACGAACATTTTCAACATATGAAACTGAAAGAGAACCATGGATAGCAGTACTCAACCAAACTCATTTTGTACCTTGGATCAAATACAAGAGCAAGTGCTAAAACCAGGAAACATTCATTCCAATGTTTTTCAAAAGTTTATCTTCATCGGGTAAGCCATCTTGCACAAAAACTCATAGTCACTACTTTCCTACTTCATCATTTGTAACTTAATATTACAAATATCAGTAAAGAACAAATTGGAAGTAAGATAATTTAATATCTCCCTCTGGCACGTATCACAATATTGTCCGCTTTAGGCTCCCGACACGAAAACTTCCCAGGGGGTCACCCATCCCTGGATTGCTCTCGCCCGGGCACGCTTAACTGCAAAGTTCTTATGGGATCTATTGCCCTTGCGGCTTTAAAACGTGTTGTGTTAGGGAAGGTATCCATACCCCTTATAAGGAATGTATAGTTCTCCTTCCCAACCGATGTGGGATCGGGTGCAACCCACCTTCACCCCCCATTATAGGGTTCGACGTCCATGTCGAACACATCGACCTGTGCCCTAGCTCTGATACCATTTGTAACATCCCCCTCTGGCACGTATCATAATATTGTCTGCTTTGGGCCACTCGGCACGAGGACTTCCCAGGGGGTCACCCATCCCGATACTACTCCCGCCCGAGCACGCCTAACTGCAGAGTTCTTATGGGATTTGCTGCCATCACGGCTTTAAAAAGTGTTGTGTCAAAGAAGGTATCCACACCCCTTATAAGGAAATGTTTCGTTCTCCTTCCAACTTGTAACATCCCAAAATTTAAGACCAAAAATTTCATTTTTATTTAAATTATTATAAAACCAATAGTATAAAAACATACATAGTGTCATCCCATATCAAAACCAGTATGTCAGTAATCAAAACATCTCATAGTGAAACAATATCAGAGTATAATACCAAAGATCTTATGTGCGGAAAACATAGTGTGATGTGCTGCGATCATGTCGACACCTTTCCTTTTGAAGAAGAAGTACCTGAAACCAAAACTGAAAACCGTAAGTATGAAGCTTAGTGAGTTCTCCAAATACCACATACCATACATATCAACATACTGCCTAGCATATCTTGGTGCTGGTCTACCCCTTCAGTCTCTTTCAAACGGATACTGTCTAGCATATAAGCACATAAATCACATACTGACATACATAACCATGAGCCATACATATCATTCATATATCATAATCAAATAAAGATGTTATGTGCCGAACATAGTCTTGCTATTATGCCACAGGCCGCCACGTGGTCCTTCTTGCCAAGTCGGGGGCCACCCCTCGGTCTTACAGACAAGTGCCAAGAGCCACATCCTGGTCTTCCATGCAAACATCACAAAGACAACTAGCATACATACTACTCTACTTAGCCAATTAGCATACAGTGTGCCAGGAGCCACCTCATGGTCTTTCATACATAATGCCTAGGGCTAAACCTCGGGTCTTCCTACCATACATAATAGCATACAGTGTGCCAGGAGCCGCCTCCTGGTCTTTCATACATAATGCCTAAGGCTAACCCCGAGTCTTCCTACAATACATAAACCAAATGGGCCAGCATTGGTGCCTTCAACCCATACAAATAGTGAGAAGACTCACCTCGCACTGCTGAAGTCCTGCGGATAAAGCTATGGTTGCTGGCTGACAGATCCCCAAACTTTCAATCATCAAAACAAAACCCAATTAACAATCGGGTTCCAATGCGTAACCATAAGTCCATATTTGGGGTAAAAATACCATTTTACCCATAACCTAGCTTGGTCCAAGGCCAAGGCCCAAACTCAAACTCTGGAGGCCCAAAAGCCAAATAATAAATCAAGGCCCAACATATGGCCCAATTTTCCAAATTGGGCCCAAACCTCTTCATGGTCTTACCTTAAGGCCCAACCATTTATTCTAGTCCAAACATTTGGCATTTCGATGGTCCAATATCTCATAATCATCAAGGCCCAATTATGGCCCATCAATGGCCTAATTTTCCAAATTGAGCCCAAAGCCCTCACATGGACCTTACCCTAAAGCCCATCAAAATATTCTAGTCCATATTCTTGTTCTTGGATGGCTCATCAATAGCCCAATTACCAAAGCCCACCAGAAAGGCCTAACTCAAGGCCTAAACAAAATTAGGGTTTTCACATAAAATGTCTAGCTTAAGTGGTTGGGTGCATAGGTTTAGATGGAGAGTGCTTGTGTTCGAACCTTATAATGGGGGGTGAAGGTGCACATCGGTTTGGAAGGAGAATGAAACATTTCCTTATAAGGGGTGTGGATACCTTCCTTGACACAACGTGTTTTAAAGTCGCGAGGGCAACATATCCTATAAAAACTCTGCAGTTAAGCGTGCTCGACGCAGGATTAGTACCAAGATGGGTGACCCCCTGGGAAGTCCTCGTGCCGAGTGGCCCAAAGCGGACAATATTGTGATACGTGCCAGAGGGGGATATTACAAATTTCAGACTGAATAAATGTGATATGATGAAGAGATTCGTTCATCTGCGGATTGTAGGGCCATGCGAAGGTTGGTTTCAGTTGCCTTGGGAAGGCTAGGGTGTGCTCGGGATTGTGGCCATGTTACTTGAGAGGTTTGACGTGACAGGAATGGTAAGGAATGATTTCGAGGACGAAATCTAATTTAAGTGGGGAGAATTGTAACATCCTGTTCATTAAATAAATAAATAGATAAAATGAATAAATGAATAATAGCCATAAAATCCATAATATCTAGTGGGGTGTTGTTTTCGGGGAGCCAAATGATATAATTTGGATTTTCGGGGGTTAAAGTGTAATTCCGGGATTTATTTTGTAAAGATTTTCAGAAGTCAGGGGTGTTTGGTAAAATATAGGACTTATTATGAAAGGATTTTTAGAGGCAGGGGCTAAAGGGTAAATTCTGGATTTAAATTGGAAAAGATCTTGAAGAGAGGGGCTGAATGGTAAATATTGGAGTTGTTTTGAAAAAAAATTAATGGCGAGGGACCAGAATTGGATAAAAGAGCAATCCAAGGATGGGTGACCCCTTGGTAAATTTTTGTGCCGGGAGCCCAAAGCGGACAATATTGTGATACGTGCCAGAGGGGGATGTTACAGATAAGAAGTACCAGCAAACCGATTTGTAGCCTTATAAAAGTGCTCCAAACAGTTACTTATCATTTGTGCAACTTCCCACGCCTCGTTAGTTGGATGGAATTTATAATTACATATGTTTGTGCCAAACGCCAAAACACACCTTTCATCTCTAACACACTTTTAATCATCAGAAAAGTAGAATTCCACCTAGTAGGCCAGTCCATTTGAACTTTCTTTTTATCCTTAATCTTGTGATGAACTTTCATAGAATTAAAGTTTTGTGTCGCATATGGAGAACGCTTCAAATATTTTATGGTTTCTTTAACCTTGTGAATGAATTCACCAATAACTTTCAAACCATCTTGAACAACCAACTTAAGAATATGTGCACTACAACAAACATGAAATAGTTTACCGTTCAATGGGATAGCAGACCTGTCACAAAGCCAACTTTTCAAGGTCCTCACCATTGCATCATTAACACTAGCATTATCTAACACCATGGAGAACAATTTTTCATCAAGTTTCCAATCCAATATGCAGTCAATTATCTGTCTAAAAAGAGTCTCTGCATCATGAGGATATTCTATACATCTATAGGAAAGTATTTTGTTAGACAAGATCCAATCATCATCAATAAAGTGAGATGTTAAACATATATATAACCAATATTTTGATGATCAGATGTCCAAATATCAGTCATAAGAGAAACCCCGCCATGTAATAGTTCAAGTAGTTATAAAGTTTCTCTTTTTCATTTTTGTGAACAAGAAGTATATCAGACTTGATAGTATTTCTGCAACGAAAACGAAACTTTGATTGAAGACCATTCACAAAGAGTTCAAAATACTCATGTTCACACATGCTAAATGTATAATTGTGCTTGATCACTGTTTTTGCAAAGTCCATTCTACTATTTTCTTCATTGAACTTGAAATTTTCAAGTGAAACCAAATCATCAGAAATATTTTTCTTCGTGGATATCATATACTGAGAAATACTTGTTCCGTGTTTGTTATTACATCTTAGTAAATGATTTCTTAAGTGGCTTGTCCTTGATGAAGAGCTTGCAACTAGTTTCTTACTGCAATGGTTACATTTGGCACTCTGACTCCCATCTTTATTTTTTATTCTTTCAAACTCTAACCATACATCAGATGTTAATTTTCTTTTCCTATCAGAACTCTCATCTTTGTCTTCAACATTCTCCTGAGTTTGAGCATTTACATCTACAACATTTTCAGGACCATTTGTTTGCACAACATTGTCATCCATTGTGTATTAACTGTTAAAGTTGATGAATAAACAAAAGTAGTAAGAAATAAATGATAAAAGTAAAAAAAAAGTAGCTATAATCTTCAACAAGTGTAACCTGTTAAACCTGATGAATCAAAAAAATTGTAAGAAACCGTTAACTATTAAATCAGAAGTCGATTACAATTTACAAAATCAGAAGTCGATTACAATTTAAAAAAAGTTGAATTCTAAAATCTATTTCAGAAAAATTCGATTACACAAACCAGAAATCAAAAGAGACAGATTAATAATGATTACAAAAATCAGAAGAACACACGATTAACAAAGTCGATTACACAAACCAGAAAAAGTCGATTACACAAACCAGAAATCAAAAGAGACAAATTCCAAAATCTATTTACAAAATAGCAAAAGTCTATTAGAGTTGATTTCTGAATTCTACTTCACAAATTAGAAGTCGATTACCAAAATTAGAAATCAAAAGAGACAAATTAAAAAAAGAAATTTGAATTCGATTGGATATTAGAATAGAACAACAGAAGTCTATTCGATTTGATTTCAACACATAACACACAATTGGAGTTGATTTCAAAGATTCTAGAGTTGATTATATTAGAATGTTAAAAAAGAAACCTGATTGTGGATGTTGGAATGTCGATCACTCGATTGTAGCCCTTTTCTTGAATCTTGATTGAAGCTCTTTTCTTCTTGATCTTGAGTCTTAATTAGGGAATATCGATTTCACATATTATAGAGTCGCTTATATTAGGATTTGGGGGTCGACTGCAATCGGCTTATTTGGATTAGGAACTGAACTAGGAGGTTGAAGTGGATTTGTGGAAGAAGTGGATTAGTGGAACTTCTACAGTCTAACTTCTCGAATCCTCTCCTGTACGTGAAGATTGATAAATGTAGTATAAGTTATAAATAATTAATTTATATTATATGTCAAAATTTTATATGGGGCGGGTCATAAACGAATCGGATCGATAGTGAACCATACCCGACCCTTTTAATAAAAGGGTTAATGGGTACGGGTCATTAACGGGTAAACAACTCATAAAATATGATCCAAACCCATTAATTTTGCATGGGTTTGGAGCGGATCAGGGTCAAAACCCGCTCCATTTCCAGGTCTAGGGGGAAAGAGATTCCTAAATGAAATAAATTCTCCACTAAATGGAGAAAAGTAGATTCCTTCCAAAGTTGGATGGAAAACATTCATTCTCATCAAGGAAAGTGGAAAATTACAAAAAAGACCCCCCTTTACTTATCAGAAAACCCAACACAACTACCATCAACCACCATTGATGCCACCACAACTACCGTCATTGTCGGTGATCTGGCTTATAGATTGGAGTTGCCACCAGAGTTAGAGGGGATTCACGATTTGTTCCACATGTGTTACTTGCAGAAATGCCTTGCTTTGGAACCAAACATCTTGTCATTGGACGAGCTACGGGTTGATGAGTCTAAACGACTAGTGGAAGAGCCTGAGGCAATCTTGGAGTGGGAAACCAAGCAACTACGAAAGAAAAGCTGAAGCTTGTGAAGATACTATGGAAGAATAAGCACGGAGGTGATATGACTTGAGAGCTCGAGGATGATATGAGGGCTCATTACCCTGGCCTGTTTGTTCTAGTTCCTGATTTCGAAACCGAATCCTCTTAAGGTGAGGAGGATTGTAACGACCCGAATTTTCCCACCTTGCCTTTGAGATTAGTTTCGTTACATTCTCGTGTGAACTCACTTTTTTATTAATTAAAGTTAACTTATGGGGGCTAAAGTGTAAAAAAAATGACTTGTTGATCATGCATATGGGTCATATGTCCATTTTTACACATTTTGAGGGGCTTACATGAAAAATAGGCTCATGTTAATACCCCACTTAACCCTAATCCATGATTTACCATTCATTAGCAACCAGCAACCTTCATTTCCAGCCTCCATCCTCAATAGATATCATTTTAGGGTTCTTATCCTTGGAGGTGTATTAAAGAGGAAAAGAATATTGAATTGGTGGGTATTCTTGGATGATTTTTGGTGGTACTTTGAAGACTCTCTCCTAAAAATCATCCATGAGATCATTTATAGAATTTCCAGAAGGTAAGAACTCCTTCCATGAGTTCATTTTGTTGTCCTACAAATCACACATAAGGAAAGACCATGAATGATGCAAAATTCTTGGTTTTGGTGTGTTAGATTATCCCACTCTTGTCCTTATCATTGTAGTCACTTAGAAATGGACTTGAAGGATGAAAATCACCCCAATGAAAGTTTTGATCATACCCAAACCGATCAATTAAGATCATCAAGCGATGATCAAGAATCTGTAACTGCCCAATTTTTACGATGTGAACATCACCTTGTCACGTCATAACGACGGGACCTGAAACGATTAGAATCGAGTCTGTTTCTTTGCCACGACGTGAGAATCCTCTTTGCCATGTCGTGATGACATGGAATTGACTGGTCCAGACCTAAAGGTTACTTTGTAGCATGCATTGGACATCCTAATGCCACGACGTGATGAAAAAACTGATCGGGCCAAAATCACGATAGACCCTCAGCTCACGACGTGACACCTCCTTGGTCACGACGTGAGACTCGTCTGGACAAAATCATTTTTATTTTATGATCTGTTTTGATCAGTTCCTTAGGTATTCTTTTAGGGGCGTTAGAGTACTTTTGAGATGGTGGTTTTCTTCCGTTCATAGCTCCACATAACTTGGAATAGATGTGAATCATTTCTTATGTGGTTTAATCACTAGTTTGGAAGGATAGCATGCACATATACTTGTGTTCTTGTCTATTTGATGCTATGAGATGTTATAAACTAAATGTCAAGGGTAAAATATAACCTGTATATGTAATGTTATTGTTGACACAACTGAATTTAGGAATCCCTTGTATGCTAGAGATCTTAAATTAATCACTTGGTGCAATTTGAGAGGGTTAGGTCCATGCTAGAAGCGAGGAATTTTTGTGTGCTTATAATTGTGATGACATGCATGTTATATTTATGTTTTGTCACTTTTGATTGAAACTAGAATATGCATGCTAGAAGTTGTTTGGTTGAAAGGTGTATCTCATTTCATGCTACCACATGGTGTTATGTACATTTATGTTAATATACCTTTGATATGTGTTTGGAATATGTGGTATCACATGGATTAATTATAATAATAATTCATAAGAATGATTATATAATGATATTGGTGAGGTATGTGCTTTGCCCATGTGATACGAATTAATTAAATATAAAGGGGAATACACATAGCGGGGTTAAAAGGGTAGTAACCTAACTTAGGTACATGCCCTTACGAGATATCGTGGTGGAAGGATATCATTGGAGGAAAAGAGATTAATCCAAGTCGATGTCGAGTGGTTTTATAGTTCATCATTTGGGGACATGGTCCTGGTGCACGTTGGTATACTGGGACTGGAGTGAAGTCGGTGATCTTGGATGCTATGTACAAACATCACATTTGGGTGTAGGTATGATCATTGAGGTACCACATACCACCCAATAACGGCAACACATTATGTTTGTACATGCAAAGTCGGAGTAGTGAAGGCGGAGAACGAGGGACAGTGTTACGGGTGCGTGTCGCTCCCTATTTGGTGCACTGGGTCGCCAGGTCATGTTAGTAGTGAACGAGGTCTTTATTTGGGGAGTGTTAGCGATGTAATAGACCCTAGTTAGCGAGGGGCATTAATACTAATTAAAGCAAAGCAAAAAAATTAATAATTACTGCGATAATTGAATCTCTGGATTAATGTATACACATATATATATATTAATAACTGTCAATGTATGCTGCATGGATTGACGTGATTCCATGACTTGACATGATGTTTATGCATGCTTTGTTTCCATGCTTATGTGCTTGAGATTGACTCACTGTGCTGATGTTGACACTTGTTTCCTGCCTGTTGTTGTGGTTTTTGATTTGGTACGTGTAGCTTGATATTAATGGCATGGTGATGTTGAGATCTTATGGGTAGTTATAGTCCTTTGATTAGTAGTGATGATACCAGTTTGAGAATTCTTGTGATGTTTCATTTACACTTGGTTTTGGTGTTTGTTTTGGTTGGGTTTTTACAACTAAGGATTTTGATGGGTTACTTTAGAAAGATTTTTTAATTAACTATTGATGATGTTTTTATAAGACTTTCCCTAACGATTTTCTGATAATAATTGGTTAAAATAAAAGAAATTTTTTGGTATCAGATTCATGGTGTGAGAGAACTGAATATAGAGACTGGTGTTCAGACTCATAGTGTAGACTGGCTTAATTAAGTACTTTAGGCTCTTAAGGGGGGGGGGGGGGAGCGTGTGTGACGAGTGTTATAGGATAGTGCTTGTAGTTTTATGAACTTTTATTCCTAATTTTTTTTATGAAAACCTAAAACTTCTAACTTATTGAGGAACATGTCGCGCACTTATGAGGATGCCACTATTGGGGGTACTAGCGGAGACCATGTCAACCGTACCCCATAGATGCCTTCATTTATTTTTCAAACCTCACTACTGGTTGTCGGCCACCAGCCAGCGCATAGCGAGTGCAACACTGTGAGTGTTTCTATCATCGTATACCTCAAAGAGCAGCTCCAGGAATGGGATGTTGAGTTACTGAGACATGATCGAGCAATGGAGTGGATGTAGTAGGCTATGCGAGCAACTGGACTTTTACCCCTGGAGGAGGAGGAACATTATGAGGTGGTAGTTAAGAGCCGCTCAGTTTCCAGGGAGCAGAGTAGGGAGCCCATTAGGGATCGTGATGAGGGTCGGGCTAGCTCGTTCAGAGTATTCACAGACCGCAAATCCCCTTTTAACGATGAGGAGAGGACCCAAAATTATGCATGCATTGGTTTTGCAAGATGAATCAGATTTTCTGTTTAGGTGACTTCATTGAGGCATAGAAGGTCATTTATGTGGTGTTGAAGCTAGATAGTGAAGCTCTTTATTGGTGGGAGGCATTAGATTTTTTATCCCTAAGGTTGCACGTCGTGCC